GTCCTAGTATCTAGGGGCTGTCTCTTATACACATCTAGATGTGTATAAGAGACAGGATAAGGGTAACATCGATGCTAATTTATGAAATTACTTATTGACGCGTTCAAAAGAATCTTTTAAAATTGAGAACGGTATCATAAGGAGAGCGCTATATTCTAGATCAATTTATTGATACAGATTTTTTTCGCATCATCCTACAATTATTATTATCAGTTTGAAATTTCAAGGCAGATGCAAACTTTTTGCAGCAATGTTTTTATTTTCAAACCAAAATTTCATGAATAAATAAATTTTTCAATCACTTCGTCAGAAAGTATCTTCGACTTTTAAAATTTTGCCGATATCCTGATGGCACATCTATGGTAGCGTAAGATACCCTCATCGTATTGAACGGCCGTCGAATGAAGTTTTACGTTAATAACGTAGCTGCATGTTCAAGTAGACAGACAAAGTCAGAAATGACCTGAAAAACACATATTATTGAATAAAACCCAGATGTTTTTTACGAAGTGTAGAAGAATCGTCAAATTTGCAAAGTAGCCTAATGCCGCTTGTCCAGCATAAAAATGTAAAAACTTTCATCGTCACTCAGTTTTATTGTATGCTGAACTAACGGCAGTGAAGTCCAAACATTCTTGTGCGCAACATGAAAGTATCCAAGTGTCGCAAGCCTTGCTGCCCTGCAAGTGTTATCTGCTGGCGAGCTGCAGGGGAAGCGACGAGCTCTTCTGATAACGATCCATGCCAGTAAACAGAACTAACAAACTCAGTTAGCAACAGAAACTGTAATGCATAAAAATACGTGCATGTTATTGTTACGTCTGAATGAAGTAGAATTAATTCATTTTAATTCACTCTAACATAATCTAATCCAAATAATCGACGATGACGCATGTGGGCAATGAAAATGCCAACAAATAACATAACATGACATAGTGATGTCGCTGAAGCGTAGGCCTGATGTGGCCTGTCGCCGAATAAATTTAAAAAACAGCTTGTAACATAAGAACGAAAATTTTGACAATGACGATGAACCACCCAAAAATTTAACAATACACTTGCCGCACTCTGATGACATGCTAGTGAAAGGTATTATTCATTTTTATCACATTTCGAGTTTCGTTCAAAGTGAGAAATGACGTTCATAAATTGTAAACGTGTTATCAGCGTATGAATAATTTAACATCGATTTGTTTTCTTTTGAGATAATTTAGCAGGAAAAAAGGGTGAATATACCAGAATTTAGTTTTTCTCATTCAAGTCTAGACCGCCTGCTGTGAACGCTCGAATCCCGTCAATGAAGAGGCCAAGTTATATGGTAAGGAGACCATGGCCTTGAACGCTGCCTTCCCGTCTTCTCTTGGTTGAAAATAGTCAATACGTTGAACTTCTGGTAGCCGAGCTAAAAATATATTAAAAATTTATGTACGGGTTTACTTGTGCTGAGCAATAATATTCGTCATAGATCAAAATATTGTTTATTAAACCGTCCATACTTTGCAATGTGAAAAGCAAACCCAGACATTGTTTATGACCTTCAAACGAGCGATCCAACGGACGCCAACCGGCGACCATAGTATATAAGGCGACGTGATGCACGCAGCGGGCCAGCGGCTTCTAGTGTGCCGTGTGCAGTCGGTTGGTTCGTTAGCTTTGTCAATCTCCGGGCTACGTTACTATCAATCATGGCGCCCATTCTAGGATATTGGGGTATTAGAGGCGTGAGTATTTTATATCGAGCTCATAGTTGATCTGTGGATGAAGTTTGGATTTTTAGTAAGAAACTTTCGCTCGATAATAGAGATTGTGGAACTCGACAAGATTATTGATGCCGTGGCGTGAGTCGTTGCATCTGCAAGCCTAGTCAACCTTGAACAGAAGTGCCGCATGTGAACGTTGGCTGTCCCTGCCCGTTGGCTTCCGATATTTATTCATGTGCAAATTGTAATCATATGCATTTCTGTACAATGCCACGTTGGTTGACGATTATTGAATATTCAGGTCTCTCGTACATCTTGTGGAAAGGTATCGGATATTGCGAGCACTATCAATACTTAGGAAGCCATGATGTGTGCACTGTGCAGTAGTTCTCCCACATGCATTGCGTCTAGACTCTAGACTATCAGAGCGTTACGTGCGTAGTAAGTTTATGATGCAATAGTCATCACTCGGCAGATGCCACCCACACTTTTGCCCTTACCAAATTAAAATTGAATCATATTAGATATAACTACAATTTGTATGGTTATATCACCACTTGATAACGTGCAAGCGGTTTAGATTTCGCTGGAAGTTTGTAGTGTCTTTTTCTTAAAATATACATTCTGTGCAAGGCCGGCTGAGGAAGATCAATGGGCATTGACTTCGAAGACAATGATTAATTTTGCTCTTGCTACAACGCGCGATAACGCTTTATGCATACAACGGTTACCGTGAGGTGTTGATAGGGTTGCCAAGTATACAGAAGCATCAGCTCGTCTTCCATATGAGAGTTATGATATATGCGAACTCTTGGTTATGCCAAGGTCTCTCGTTTGGTTCTTGTTACGTGACTTACTTCCCTTTTCTCCTTACTTCTGGACGTAATTTTTCGGGGCAGCCGTGAACAATTTCTTGGCAGGGGTAGATGACGTCTGTGATGTTTAAAAATTAAAAATTCGCGAGGTTTGTGTGACTACTACAATGTATTGTAGCTGAGGAGCTATTTGACATAAGCAATGCGATAATGACTCATTGGCCTAGGTTTATTTTCATAATCTACTTCTAATGATGCATAAATAAATGAGTGGGGAGTGTTGTTGTCCTAGTATCTAGGGGAGTGTTGTTGTCCTAGTATCTAGGGGAGTGCTGTGTCTTAGTATCTAGGGGAGTGTTGTTGTCCTAGTATCTAGGGGAGAGTTGTTGTCCTAGTATCTAGGGGAGCGTTGTTGTCCTAGTATCTAGGGGAGTGTTGTGTCTTAGTATCTCACAGCGCATCATAATGAAAAGAAATTTTGTAAGTGAACAGGCGTTTATATACCGAGTTTGGTGCCACTATACATAACACTGAAATAAATGTGTGAGAAACTAGCTGTGCACTCTTTGCTCATATATGACTCATCTTGACCCAGTTTCGCCCGACAAAAAGATGTGTAAATGCTACGTCCGTTTTTTCTCGTGACGGGAGTGAGAAACCGTGTCAAATATGGCACACTTATTTTTCTGAGTGAAACAATGGTACAAAACGGCGAAAAGGGTAAAAAGATTCAATTTCTAAAACGAGTTCTTGATTTGCTGTGATCTGGAACTAAAATCCTATGTTCTCATGTCCTAATGTTAATAATTCATTAACAGAAATTCCAAGAACTTTTCTATTATTTTTTTAGACGTTAAACATATTTTAGTGGTTACAAATAATGTATTGATGGAAAACTTGAAGCTAAAAACGCGACAATGTGAGCTGCAAAAACAGGTAAAAACCTTACCGTGCAACTTATCTCTGCTATCTCAATAATTGATGTTATTGGTACTAGCTTCACTCGAACGCCCTCTGTACTGGCCACTACAAGTGATTGGCGCCCGCTGTACTGGCCATTACAAGTGATTGGCGCCCGCTGTACTGGCCATTACAAGTGATTGGCGCCCGCTGTACTGGCCATTACAAGTGATTGGCGCCCGCTGTACTGCCACTATAAG